TTTACCAAAGGTAATAACTTGAGGATGGGTTGAACACAATACAAAACCGTTTAATTGCGTAATATGATGCTTTGTAGTTTCAGAGATCTGAGAATGTCTGCTCCAGTTTTTACGGGGTCTGTGTTTCTCATTTGTCTGTAGCTGTTAATTTTTTTGTCTCCTGGGTTAGTCTTCATCGCCTATTTCCTCTATTCTTGACTGACACTTCGTGTTTTGGCGTTTTTTTTTACCTGTTTGACCCGGTTATGCAATCCTGAGCTCTACATTGGCGTTACAAAAATCCTGGAAACCACGCTCCGTCATTTTTATTTTGCCTTTTTATGTCTTTCGTAAAAGAAAAGTTATTTTGCTTAGACCACATCATATAAAATCAAAAAATTAGAACTAAGCCTAGCAGAATTAAGAAAATGAAATAAAATGACCATTCAGTTATCGGAGTTTCGGGTATATGTCGAACATGCTTTAAATAAAGGAAACAGTAGTATACCGGTGTTCAAAAGTCATAAATCGATGAAGAGAAAACAAATCCGGGTTACAAACTAAAAGGGAGACAAAGAGGAAACTGAAGAGCAACAAAAACAAACGCCAAAAAATGGTGGATTGAACCTGGTTTTATGGCTAGCCAAACCTCCCGCTTTTATGGCAATGTTAGAAAATATCGTTAAAATGACAACACTACTTGACAGAAATACATCAGAAACACACACAAGAACACTCATCACAAGAGAAACGCAAAAACAAATAATATAATAGTCGACACAACATGCAAACCGCAGAACAACAACGAACATCTTCCATCAACGACAGACGCCACAGGACATCACAAACAGTGACGCACTATGTAACGAATATGTAATCTTGAACTTCACACAATAATTTTCACAACACCAGTCCAAACAATTTTCACGACAATGCTGGTATAGAAAGGCTATTTTATAATTATTTGGACTACAAGCAATAAGACATAACACATTATCCAACCGAATTATAACAGAAACATCAAAAATAAATACATGAATGTTGGATGTATAAAATACCGAGACACGTCGTATAGCAATGCAAATTCACACTCGATATAACAGTCATATTCGTGAATAAGTCACGTTCGGTACTTAGCAGACAGACGACATAGATGTTAAACCAGAATCTAAGACGTGGTAAAAATGTCATTAGTTAGTTTAGACACAGACATATCGTATCTATATATAGATCAACCAATTCGTGATGGTGTCCATAAAATGTACGGAGTGTCATTTTTAATCTTTCCTCCTCATAACTCTGTTGGAGCAGTTTCTGCGTAAGGAGCACACTCCTGTATTTGAAGTCCGTATAGTGTGAACATGCACGAGCATATTTTATCAATTGAGATATGTAAACACCATACGACGGAGCAGAGGGTATGTTACTGTTGAGAAATGGGAAATTGATAATTGGGAAGTTGAAATCATCCCGTTTGTCATAGATTTTAGTGAAGTCGTCCATCTGTGTCAATATTGAGGAAAAGATCAAGGTATGAAGCAGTCCTTCTTGTATCAGTAGTACCCTTAATTTCAAATTCGCTGGTATATATGAGATACATGTATTGACTGAAATATGGGTAATTCAGTGATAGGACATTATTAATATATCTGAAAGTAAATTTAAAGAATTTTGCAAGGTGCTTTTTCGTTTTGTCTTTTAGAAGGTTCTGAATGAATTCTGCTTCATACGAGTACACAAACAAGTCGGCCAGAAGGGGTGCACAATAAGTCCCCATTGGAATACCGACTGTCTGCTGAAAGATCAATCCTCCAAACTCAACAAATATATTGTCGATTAAAAAGTCCAGCATTTTGATAATATTATCTTCACTGTATTTTCTGATAGAATCAGTGTAGTTCTTCACAAAATATATAAGAATTATTATAATCCAAAACAAGAAACTTATATCTACGATTCCCATTTTTATAAAAAAAGCTCTGTTTAATAAGATGGTGAAGTCAATCTTTCAATTGAGCATGGGGAATAGTAGTGTAAAGCGTAGAAAAATCAAAGGTCTTAAAATTGCAGACATTGTGATCTAAGATTTAGCAGTAGATCTTCAGAATTTAGAGAATCCACATCTGATTGACACCACTGGTTGAGTATATCTCAATGAAATATTTTTGAAGGCCATCTTTTACTGTAGAAAAAATAGTAGTCAACAATTTAGAAAGCTGTTTAGTTGAACATCTTGATGATTTAGCTATGTATCGTTCTTTATACGGAGTTTTGTGAAGTTTTGGTATCCAGTATAACATGTATAATGACGGTAGATTTTCTTCGTTTTCTTTGATGTTAATACCAAATAAAAGAAGGGCAGTTTTGTGATTTTGTAAAATTTCATCCTTTGTAAATAACGTTAAAGAATATGTTGGACTACCAGTTCTGCTGCTTATTCCAAGCTCTTTTGTGAGACATTGCAAATAAAGGGTTTTTACATACGAAGACAATATTATTGGAGGCTTTATCTGCTGGAACAACGACATATTTGTCATACAAAGAGGATAAAGCATCCACAACCTGTGGTTCTTGAATGGGTTAGAAACCCTTGTGCTCATTGTACATCGTTGTTTCTGAATGCGCTTCTGGATGCATGATCGAATAGCTTTGATCCATTCAGACAGAGTGTCCAGTTCTGGTTCGTCTGGTTCGCGCTTTACCCATTTTCTAGCATAGTCCTCAACTACATCCATCAGTAACCTGAAGTTATACAAGGTGCTTCAAAAATTTTGAAAGTCATTTGAAGTCTATGGAGACATCCTAGAGAAATTAAATCAAGCAGACTGTAGAGCGTTGTATAGTGTTAGTGGAGCGAAAAATTGAACTTTTCCAAGAACTGTGATAAAAACAGTTTTAAACTGGCCTAGTATGTGAAGTTTATTAATATCGAAATGCATATAATTACCCCCCCCCCCCTTTTTCTTCCAAACACACACACGCAAACCGCATAATCGTACCACTTTTCCGTCCGGTAATAATTACAAAGCAATATTAATGCTATTAGAAAATGATTAACATGTTCAATGTATACTAAGACGTTCTTAATAATACAGAAAATACAGACTGTGTGCCTGTTTAAATCGATAATCACTGTTTTGACACAGTCCCGGCATTTTAAGTATAATCTGTCAATCTCAGCGTCGAGTGGATATCTTTTTTTTCGTAACACGTCTAACAGATGTCTTATAGTGAGTTCGGAATTGAGTTTAAACACATATGATTTACAACATAGGGACAAGAAACGTGACACACATTTTAAAAAGTTAAATGGTAACATGTTTGACTTTGAATATTTTAAAAATAATACAGTTCAACAGTTTACCAGGCCAACGTTGACAAATAGTGGTGCATGAGCCAATTAAGTATGAACCTTTGCTTTATTTAAATAAATGTCATACTTTGTAAAATAGAGGCGAAAGATAACAAAGAGATAGTCAAGCTAATAAGTCAAAAACAAACTGACAATGTTATGACAAAAAAAAGATAAACCACGAATAGACAAACAACAGTACATAAAACACAACAAAAAACTAAAGACAGAGCAACACGAACCCAACCAAATACTGGGGGTGTTCTCAGATGCTTAGGACGGACAATAAGAGCTGACATTCATTAACACAGACGTTTAAATAGACGAGTATTTCTAAGGCAGTTAATGAACTATTCTTCATGAACGTATTGACTATTTCGCTTAAAGACACCCTGAATTAAATTTCCCTTTTTTACAAAAAATAATTTCTACTAATAAACAGTTATAGCTTATGTAAAAGTGTAAGATACAAATGAATCAGATTATTATGCAGTAGTTTCAAATGAGGGACGGGTGACGGTTTTAACTTTTCTATCATAAATGATGGAGAAAAAATTCTACTTTCGATGAAAACAAATGTGTCCACAGACAATTACAAAGTACCCTCATAAGATCTTCCCATTGCATTAAAAATACAAATTTTTATGGTGTGCGTCTAATGCTCTTTGCAGTATTTATCTATACCAAGAACGCTGAAACAAAGCATTCGGAAAGCAAAATTAATGTTATGTCAACTGTGCCTGTGGGAGTTGAAAGCACAGCTTCTTTGTACTTTCTTAACGTATTAACGGGGAACTTGATAAAAATGTGTTATTGGTCATATCAGTACAAACGCATTGACGACTGAGGTGATGATGCCCTCGAAGACTAAGAGTCAATCAGCAGAGCTATCAATTTAGTGCTAGTAATAGAAAACAACACTTTATATATTTAGTCCGAAGCGAGTTGATGAAGTTACCTTTTTTGGGTTTTACAAAGTCTGAGTAGGAGCTGCAAGCTCTTGAATACCGAATAAGTTGGGAAATGTATATCCCATATGCAGGTGAAGTTGATATATTGCTACTAAGGTGGGGGAAATTGATAATTTCAAAAATAAAATCGTCTCGTTTGTCCTAGATTCTGGTACTGAGATGACTGTGTATGTCAAATTCGATGTATAAGTCTAAAAATGAGGCGGAAGAAGCCGTGTCTGTTGTTTCTTTAATTTCTAGTTCTGGGGGGGGTATATTAATGGAACTTAATCAGAAAAGTGCAGATTGTTAATGGAAAGAACATCATCAATATATCTGAATGTGAAATTAAATAACCAGGCTTCTTTGATCTTCTTGATTTTGACAAGTGTCTGAAGGAACTCCGATTCAAAGAATTGGAAAAACAGGGATGCACAACTACGTACAAAATTTAGGAGCTTTATGACCAAAAGGAACATACAAGAATACCCTTAGGGACTTAAATTCCAACAGCAATGATATCAACCATGTATTGGTAAAAGATACATAGTTTTAATAAATTTCATGCGACCTTTATGAAGACAATGGCAAACATATGTTTGTTCAAATTACAAACCATTATGAATTTTTAAAATGAATGATAATAGTTTAACAGCTATGAAAGGTGGGAGGCAAATTGTCCATTCTAATTTGGACTTTTACTTCACAAATGTCAAATATCTGATATATAAGTTGCTGATGATTGGTAAAAGAAATCATTTACAAAATAACGTAATTCGAGATGTTAAAAATATTGCTAGGACTTTTTTGTGTCTGTATAGGTAAGTTGCAATCTATTGACCATTTAAATTTGAGCAATTTTTTGTTTAATTTTATTTTCATTATTTTTCATTTAAAATTATAATGTTTGTATGAAGAAAGTTTAAAAAAGTTAGAGATAATAATCAGAATATAATCTCAATAGATATTTTCCTTTAATACATGCAAAAACGAGAAATTTACATGACTCTAATCATGTCATTTAATAAATATGGTAGGATATGATTAAGAGCCTTTTCCCGCTTTCTACTTAATAAATAAAGAAGAAGAAAAACTGATATGATTTTAAAAGTAGAAAGTTTTAAAATGCATTTCCAACCCTCGCTTAGATGTTAGTAAAACTTATTGGTGTTGATTGTACTTACTTTCAGTAGGATTGGAAGCAGAATTCGTCATTCCTGAATGTTTAGGTGTATTTTTCTGTACCGAAATACCCGACCTTGAAAGACACCTTACATTTAAGAATGGAACTTCTGGAAGAAGCGTACACATAAATAAAGATATTGTGACAGACATCTGTAGGTAAGACAATCGTCATGTTCAAAATTAAAAGAGATCAATATTTAAAAATTATTCGACACATTATATAAAATGTTTTACGTATGTAGAAAAATGCTTAATTCTGTACACGCTTAAAAGCAACCAAAATGTGTTTATTTTGTTTTTTTCATCATGAAAATGCAACAAATATATGTCAAAAGGCGTTAAGAAAACATCAGTAAATAAACCAATCTTGCTCATTTTATCCGTTTTAAAATATAGTGTTAATAGCAGTTAGTTTTTATGAATCTGCGCAAACTCTTTGCACTAAGGCTTCTTTAAATATTGTAATACATATTGTCCAATCATTTTTCTTTTGATGGACGCTGTGCCTTTGATGTTATTTGTTTTTATGTTGTTTTTGTTTTCTTTTGTAAGATTGGTTTTGTGTGTTTGTTCTTGTCGGAATTGTATACTCAAAATTATACATTCACATATGTATCAAATAAATTGCCTCACGCTTCTAAGACATATGTTAACGAAGGTAGTCATTACACCTTCTTACACAACATAACATTTTCGCAAGGTAAATTAAGATTACAAGTAAATGTATAAATATCGTTTAATTGCAGTTATTTGTTGAGCATTGCAACATGTATAGATTCCGGTGTTCCTCCATCGTGTGCAGCTTACACCAAGTTATATAGTACCTTCCAGAATGTTATCACGGCTGCTTGCCATAAGAACATCCAAGGTTTTTGTATTTATTTTTAAAAATCTCTTACATAGTATAAAGTAAGGATATTAATTAAACAATTAAATTTTTTCAACGGATACATACTATAAATGACATGAGTTTTATAACCTAAAACATCAGTACCATTGTTTACCATTGTTTACCAACATAAACAAATCGAAGCCAAAACTGAATAATTGCGACTAGAAATTTAGAATTGATACCCGATATTGCAATGAAATCTTTGCATATATATATTTTACAATCACAACACTGAAACAACATATAATAAAAGTTTATGTAAATTAAAAAAGACCAACATTTTATTGTAGATATAATGGATTTGGTAGAAGGTTTCAATGATCTTGGCCCTGAACAAGAAGACTTTATAAATTGCATGGGAAAACATTTGAGTGAAAAAACTGTCGATGTAGATAAGTGCAGGTAGAATTTTCAATACTTTATTCGTTATTTAATGTTGATTGGTGAAGCGGGGGTAAATGGAGATCTATCTTTAAACCAGGAATGCATTTCTAAACTCTCTTGTTAAATGAAAGTAAACTAATCTGTGTTAGTAAGAAGCTAAAAACATGTTATGCAAGTATTTCACCGACAGTTGCAGTGCTTTTAAGAACATTGACCCTTTTCCTATGTCTAATTGCTTTAACAAGAGTCGAAAGATACCAAATTGATTATCAAAATTTATATGTTGAAGACAAACCGACAACAATATGACAAAAAACGAAAACCACGACTAGAAAAACAGTATGAAAAACACCACATCAAAAAACAAAGACTGAACAATAGTAACCCAACAAAAGTCGAATAGTTCATACTAAGTACACATTTGGTGACAAGTCTCATTCTGCAATGCAATTTCATAATTGACAAGAAAAGAGATTTATATTTTCGCTATGATAGTGTTTTAGCTATACATTCAGATAACCATTATATTCATTTTCAAATTCGTTGTAAATCATTTAATATGGGTATAGGCATCAAACATAATCTATATAATCTGTCGACAGGGTATATTTTGTTTATCGCATTTTGTGGCTAGATGAAACAGTTGATATCGACACTACGATGTAATTATTGGGGGATGTACATTTTTGCTATTAAATTAATATCAGTAAACTGTTATATTTTCGACTTTCTACTATGTAACTTGTACGTTTTGTACTGAATATGTTTGCAGTTGTTTCGTATACTGTTACTGTATGTGCCGTGAATAATTGGAAACATTCTAAACTACAGTGAAACGCAAGTAATCATCTCCTTCGAAATTGATTTCGAAACAAGCGACGGTCAACCCAAACAAAATTTGTAATGAGCTTCGGTGTACCAAAAGCATAAGCAGTTTCTATACCACAGGTCGCATCTGTTGTGTTTAAAGTTACAAAAATAAATCTGGTCTATTGTAGAACAATGTATGTTGACCCGTAGAAGCTTTATCTATTTTTGAAATTAATCATCTCATTGCCATTTACTCTAGATCTCTATTTAATGTTAGTTTGTATTCGTTTAGTATTTTACAGAGTATAAAGACATGCAATTATGATCACTTCAGCTCTAGGAGTCCTGATGCTGTGTCCAATATTGAGAGTTATATAGACCAATACAACGATGACATCTGCTACTTGCGTTCCTTTTTAGACTGAGGAATAGTATCAACTTTATTCGATTTAATTCCTGAATAAAGCATTTTTGAATTTAATTTCTTTTCTTTAAAATGAAAAAGATAAACAAGAATCAATAATAATAATATTTTATTGCCTTTGATTGCAATCGCAGTTTTCAATTGCATTTCTTATTCAAATAATATGGTAAACATTTTTATTCGATAATCAAAATTTACACAAATAAGCAAAATTCAGTATCCAAAATGAATGTCTGTACTCAAATACGGATCTCTTACTGGTATCTTTAGATTATTTTTGAATAGATAACAAAAATTACCAAGACAAAGGACAAGGTTCACTTATGGCACAAAATGGCCTAAAATATCAACTTTATCATAAAACACCAAAAAGGTCACAAAATAGTTCGTAAATAGGTCTATTTCAAAAGCCTTTATGCTAAATAAATCAGTTCTTTTTATAAAAGTACATAATATTCTCAAAAGTAAGCCCATTTAGGACATTTTGTCAAAATATGATGATTTTGGGCAAAATTACAGACCTAAAAGCTTGAGAAAAACCTTGGCCGCCACCAACGATCCAAAATGTTTTGTAACTGAAAGATTCCAATGTTGACATAGGATTCATCAATATAAAAACTTTTTGAATCGTGGATGGCGGCCCGGATTAATTATGCCAAAAACAATTAAAATTATGGAATTGTTTTTCCAAAATTGACCTTTAAATACAAATAATGTTTATATAAGGGGTCATAGCTTCATATAAACATATATTTTTTGTCTTAATAGTATTATCATAAGTATTTTTATGGGAAATTTGTAATTTTTTAACCCAATTTAAAAAACATCAAAAATTTAGGGCCAATTTTAACCCTTCGTGAACCTTCTCCTTTGGCAGCACCAGAGACAATGAAAAACATAGACTACAAACACATCGACTAATCGAGAGAAAAAACGAAAACACAAACATTGTAGAAAATCATGTCTTTCTCAGAATGGTTATGACGTCTTAAAAACATGATTTTATTATTAGTGGGTATTGGCTCTGAATGAGCTTTCAGTATCTACCAGTACACCCACATTGGAACTTAGTGTCTTAAAATTATTAGTTAGTTGTTGTTTTCTGTGTTTTGTGTCAATCTAATGAATCAGGCTTTTTTCGACTGACATTTATAGTGTGTTCTAATATTGCGCTATTACACCACTGTCTCAGGTTAGGGGAGAGTAAGTCACCCGCAAACATCTTTAACCCCAAAGCATTATGTATGTGCTTCTCCAAATCAAGAGCGTGCAATTCAGTCGTTGTCGTTTTTTGCTCTATTTGTTATTCGTTTATTGTTTTGAACATCAATTTCGTGATTTGTTTAACATTTGTCATTTCCAAGCGTTTGATAGCTTGCTAAGCGGTATAGATTTTGTGCATTTTTGTCGGCCGTGCAGTGACCAACAGACAAACAACAGTACACAAAACAAAAAAACAAAAACTAAAGACAGAGCAACACGAACCCCCCCCCCCCCCTCCTCAAAAGCTTGAGGTTTATCGCAGGTGCTCCGGAAAGGTAAGCAGATTTTGCTCCACATGTGGCTCAGTCGTGTTGCTCATGTAAGTACAAACCCGGTAATAAGTATAATTCCTTAGGTCACATTCGGGGGAAATGAACGGGATTGTAGTTACAACATACCCGTCTTCATCTGTTAAAAAGATATTCCATAACGGTCAAAAAATTTACGATGGGATGATTTCAACTTCAACACTCAAGACCCTTGGTTTAATAGCTTCCTCTATTAAGGAAATCATGATAGGTAATACAGGCCCTGGAATATCGTAGGAACAAGTCGTCTAGAAGAGGAGCACAGTTGGTTCCCATGGGAATGCCGATTGTTTGTTGAAAATCACGTTTTCCAAACGTAACAAATATGTTGTCAATCAAGAAATCAGTCAGTTTCGTATAATTTTTGGTTTGAATCAATATGATTTTTTTACAAAATAGGATTTATTCCTCCCTAAGACAAGATACTTTTTATCCCTCCCTAAGACAAGATACTTGTAAATACGATGGCCATTCTTTATTATGAAACAAAGCAGGACCCACTCTTTCAATTTGTCTCTTAGTTTGGAGTGGGGAATACTTGTGTAAAGTGTAGAAAAGTCAAATGTAAGAAGAAATAACACCAATGTATAATCATGTTTACATACGTTAGTGACCAGGAATATTACGACGGTAAAAAAGAAAAAAAAGCAAAGCCTTTGCAAAGATTCGCCTCTCTTTTATAAAAGAGCTTCACTAAGCGCTTCACTAAGTTTAATTCCAGCAAGAACACGTAAAGCTAAAACTTTAAAAGCTAAGGATGTATAAAACAGAAACACATTGAGATCTTAATGCCTTAAAGTAACCAAAAAAAAAACAGCCAATAAAGGTCAATACAAAATCTGCACCTAGTTGAAAGTGAGAAAGAACGGACGATATATCTTTAAACAGTAAGGTATATTCTTAAAAGGTAACATTCCCGACATGAATACATCGTTGTATAGTATTGTAATAGAACAGACATATTATTTTACTTTTATTAGTTTATGATGACTATACATAGTTTTGTTATGTAAACAAAAACTGTAGATATTTATAACATTAACATTTTTGATAACGTTTTCAGTTCGACATCCTATTTCCACCTCCCCTTGTAAGAAAGCAGGGGTACCGAACGGAAGAGGCTAAAATAATATTTGATATAAACTAAGTAGTCAATATGTATATACTATTTTTAACCTTTTTCACATGTAATATTGGCACAAAAGAAATCCCAACTTGCGTAATGGTACGCCGATACAGAAAATATCAAAGATTTACAATCAACACAAATGTAAACATGTCAAAATACATACAAAAGTAGATACAATGTAATAGAATTTGATATAAGGTCTTGGTCCCGTGACTTGAAACATATACATGAATATGCAACGGGGACTAGCTTGTATATCATTTTTCCGTTTTTGAAATAACCTTTTAAAACATGGTATTGTTTTGGAAAATAAACAAAAAAGTTTAAGCATTAAGTGCAGATTAAGGTTTATTTGTGTGTTTAATATAAAAATAAGGAAATGAGGTATGATTGCCAATGAAACAATTATACACCAAAATTCAAATAAAGTGGATGTAAGCAATTATAGACAACCGTACGGCCTTCAACACTGAGAAAAACCCATACCGTATAGTCGGCTGTAAAATACACCGACATGAAAAATATGAAACAATTCAACTGAGAAAACTAACGACCTAATTTATAACAAAACAATTAACGAAAAGCAAATATGACAGACATGAACCAACGACAACCATCAAACTACAGACTGACTGACTTGGGACAGGCACATAAAGATAAAGAATGTGGCGGGATTAAACATGTTTGTGAGCGCTCAACCCCCCCCCCCCCCCCCCCTAACCTGGGACAGTGGTCTAACAGCATAAGAACAAACTATAAAAATAAGTTGACAAAGGCTTAACTCATCAGATCGATATATCGATATAAAACAGAATAACATCAAACATAAACACAGACAGGACGTGGCAGGGTATTTATCCATCCCTCATCCCAAATAACAAAAGGAGAACAAGTACAGATCTGAGAGTACCCGTAGTTACTGCCAGCTAGTTCGAAGCCAATAACAACTAATAAAACAAATCATGTATCTAAGACTAAAATATCAATCAGTACACATCCAACATCCAATGGATTTAGTATAAAGACGTCATTAATAGTCAGAGAAAAACATTACCTTGTGTAATGACAAATTAAAGGATCGACAGATTGTATTACCGTTGAAATCTATAACGTGTTGTTTTTATTTCTTGGGGATATATAAACACGCGGTACCGTAAGTTGGTGTCAGAGGAAAATCACCATCCAAAAAAGGAAAATTTACAATAGGGAAAGAAAAATCATCGATTGAATTAAAAAAAAAATCATTATCATTTACGTTTTTATCAAAAACGTTTCTTGTTATTTTTATAACGCAAGAATTTTCCCGTTTTTCCTAACAGTTTGTTGATTAAATGTGTTTGCGAAAGCGAGGGAGTTAATTGAGGTGGACTAATTCTACATAATAAACTCCAATATTTGCAACGAATTATGTTTCTATTGATATCATTAACCTTACTTAAAAATGTTATAATTAATAAGGCTTTAAGGTAATGAAATATGAATACATTTCTCTATAAATATTGAGATATAGAAGCACTTCAAATGAAGGAAACCCAGTATGATTCAATTCAAAAGACAGTCGGATATAAGAGTGTATAATCTTATCTATTACTTTGATTTCTTAACTTTTATACACATACAACTGACAAAAGTAAGGCAAATGAAAAAGAGATATAGAACACTATTCTCTAGTGTAGTAAATCATAGCTAGAGGCATATTGTCAATTAAGTGATTCAAAGAAATTTAATTACACATCAAATGAAAGGTTCTTATCATTGTTTTCTTATTCCAAGTCCTATATCAATCAAGTATTTTACTCAGTTAAATAAATTTCGAAGTAGCATTTTTCAACAAGGGTTTTTGTAGAAACTTGTTCGCCTCCCGGCTTATATCATCCGACATTTTGCAGCTTCATTTGAATACGGATTGACTGGATCTATCATGTATGGAACAGAATGATCCCTTAAAATATAAGAAAAGTAGTGTCAAGTATTTTCGGAAGAAGAACCAATGATATCAACACTACCTTAATTCAACGGTCACCATGACAAATTGGTTGACCGATATGATGTGTCGTGTGTCAACTCACTAATAATATGTCATGTCTTTAGATGCTAAAATGATCGTCTGATCTGTAATTTTACAGACTGTTTTCTATTTCCAATTGTGATATTTTGACCTAGTGTTGATTGGAATGACGGACAATACATGCATAACAGGAGAGACTTACACCGTAGACGCACCTGGTCCCGCCCCTTTTGGAATTCAAGCAATATCTACAGTGTTTGTTTGGTACCTTGATTTGAATACCAGTTAACTACCATTTTTTGTTTTTACAATTTACCATCACTGTTTTTTAACAATATTAAAAGGTTTTAAAATACTACAGGTACGATAAAATCTGAAAACAAACACAAAAAAAAAAAAAACACCGTTGTTAAAAAAACCTAATAAAATAAAAAAAAAGAAAAACATAATACAAACAAAACACCGACAACAAATTATGTTATACAAGTAAGTTATTTAGTTAGGGAATTGTGTATATCTTAATTAAAAGGAGAATACTTTAATTTTGTCTTAAGATTTCATGTAGGATGATACAATAGCACATTATATAGACTGATAAGTTCATAGAATCTCAAATGAAAGAGTAACGCATATATTCTGTTTGATGTTTGTCTTGCACAATTCAACATATAATTGTCGATATTCATATACAAAATGTTGTTGATCGATGTGCTATACGAAGGCTGTCATAATATAAATAAGATATGTTTAACTTCCAATAGCACCCAATATGAAGATAAATAGATTTAGTATAATTCCCAATGAGAAACTATCAACCATAGACCAACTGACGTAGAAGATAGAAACTATATGTCACCATGCGGCCGTTAGCACTAAGCAAAACCTATACCGCATAGCAAGTCATAAAAGACCCCGCAATGACAAATATAAAACAGTTCAACGGAGAAAACTAACGGCCTGATGTATGTACTAAAAAAAATACACGAAAAACAAAAATAATACAGGCAAGAAACGACAGCCAATGAATAACAGGCTCCTTACTAGGACAGGCACATACAGATAGTTGAGGATTAAAACTTGTTAGCGGTCTCTCATCCTCATCATAACAAGAAACAGCGGTGCAACAGTACAACACAAGACTAAAGAACAATTAAATAAACGAAAACCAAATATGATTACAGCAACAAACAACAATCATTCAATTACAGGTTCCCAATTGGGACAGGCACATATATAGAATGTGTCAGACTTCATAATGTTTGCAGAAGCCAAACCCTCTGCCTAATGAGCACAGTTGAAGAACAAACTATGAAAATCAGTCGAAAAGTGCTTAACTCATCAGATCGATACAAAGCACAAAAACACGAAACACACAAATAACGGATCTGACAAAATATTTAAGAGAGGCGAAAGATACCTATGAGACATTCAATTTCATAAAATAAACCGACAACGACATGGCTAAAAAAGAAAAGGACAAACAACAGTATAGAAAACACAATATAGAAAGACTGAACAACATGAACCCACCAATACGGGAGATGATATCATGTGTTCCGAAAGGGTAAGCAGATCCTGCTTCACTTGTGCAGCCGTTTTGTTGTTATTGTAAGTACAAACCAGGCGAGAAGACGGTAGGTCACATCATATGAAAAAAGTATCGCATTTCTATTATTATCCTATTACAAGTGATTATGGCGTTGAATGCAATCGAATACGTTCAATGGCCATTCCACGGTCTTTGGTACATGATTGTCAAAGTATTTGGACACCTCAAAATCATTGATCGACAAATAATGTTACATGTAATGCAAATGCAGATTTACTTGTATAAATACAACATACTTGGGATACAATGTTCAAAATACATGGCAAGTTGTATATACTTTTGTCCTGTTAAATACGTCTATGTTTTAAAGAGAAAAATTAAGTACTTTTTGATGAATTTTCTTTAATTCCTACAAATGGTGAGTCGGAAATATCCCCATAATGCATCTTGTTTACAAAAGAAAATATCGCTACTCCACATAAGAAACGGTTTTCTCGATTCGCACTTTCCATAGACTGGTTATGTGATAATTACGGCATTTGCATTTCTAAGAACTTAAGGGTCATTATTTACCGTATATGGACCCTTTCCTATAACACAAAAAATGTTTTTAGTATCAGAAATAGTTTCCATTACTTTCCTCAATGCATTTGTCAGCTGGAATTGTTGAGGATTGCGTTCCTGGTTCCAAAGAAAAATTATCAGTAGTTCAAGTCCAAACGATGTTGGAGACTTCTGGGAAAAAAAGAAAGTACAATCAATTTCAGTTTTTGTTGCACTTTTGCATTACTGTATATAGCATTTATAATTAAAAGGAAACTACATAAATGTATATTACGTACTTTCCTGAGCTGGGAATGATAAATTCAATTTGGTATTAGAACCCTTTAGCCATACTATTTTGACAGTGAAACATTTTTATTTCGGATTTTAAAGGTAATGGTGAATATATTTTCCACCGTAGGGATGACATGTTAACTTGTTTTTAATTTGTTTAAATATAAAAATTGACATTACCGTGACAGCATTAATATTTTTTTTTCAGGTACAAAATTTCGTTCTTTTTATTCCTCCTATAAAATTAAAGATAAGAAACAACGACCTCTTTGTAAAACAACTGTCAACGAGCTCTTCCATGTTTGTATACAGTTTTTGATTATCAAATATCTTGGCCTCGAGTACACTGAAGAGACATTCGTTGTCAAAATGTGAATCTACTGAAGTAAAAATTCCGACCGTTAATGTCAAATATAAGGTTAGTTCGGGAATTAGAATAAATAAGTAATTAGCCTTTAGGGTTCATTTTATCATAAGGTGTAGCTTTATTATGAGTTCAAAAGCTACATCATTTTTTTTTAATTCTAACTGGTTGGCAAACTTACAGTAGCAAAAACTTAGAAATACTAGAAATAATTTTGTTTTCTTTTGTTTCTTTTAATGTTTTGATAGAAGAATGTCACATTCATTTAACAACTTCTACCTTTGTTTTAATTTGCATGGCTATATTAACACTACATAACTCAATTAAAAATATACGAAAATTAGGATATGATTGCAAAAAGGACAACTATCAAGCAAAATACGATCGGATACGGACGTCAATAACTCCAGGTTAGTGTATGACCTACAAAAATAAAAAAAAATCGTTGAATATAGAAAGCTTTAAAAAATCCTGTTTCAATTGTAAAAAAAAATATTTGCTTGATTTCATTAACGAACAAAAAATATGACAAACAGAATCCAACAAAAACGTTTTGACTGGAGACTCCTGATTTTGGAAATGTGCCGGGTTTTAACATGTTTGTATATCTTTTTGCTCTCCTCATCAAAGCCAGGGTAGTGGGAAAACATCACAATATTACCAAATTAAAAAACAATGTAAAATTCACTAATGAATCGGACAT